AACAATCTCCTTTTCCCTCCTCACACTGCCATTGAAGCATCCTTCCCACAAGTTGGACTTAAAAATATATTCACCTTCAGCAACCATGGTGGGGAAGCCTGTGGATTAAAAAGATAGACTAGGTGACAAGCTTGGCAATATACCTGGCACATGATTAGCTCCATTTAGCAGATGGAGAAACCGAGGCTGAGATTTTCATAAGCTTGAGTGCTATTATTTAATGGAGCCCAGACTCGCACCTATATTTTCTGATTCCAGATCCCACGTGATTTCTGTAGCTTCTGTCCCCCAAGTACACAGGTCTAGATCCCTGTTAGAGTCAGTGTCAAGACCCAAAGGAACAGTAGATGCTGGGATCAGGGTTGCAGAGTAGGGCTGGGAGTAAGTGTGCAGGAGGGTCAGTCTCCACTCATGCTGTGAAGTGACTGCCCGTAGGTAGGGCAGATCCCAAAGCCTTCAAAACCCTGCACACCGCCACCCATGTTCTCCAGCCTCCTTTGCAGCACTCCTGAATGAGCCCAGGAGTTTCTGAGCTGGCCTGGACCAAAAGCTCAATGCCAAATTTAACACACAAGACCTAGAGAACCACCATCCTATGACAAAATGCAATCTCTCTTCAGGATCTACAACTTCTGCACGTTGCCTGGGTGCTATAATAGTGGAAAGTCCGCAGGACAGAGAGATGTGTTTTGTTTTGTTTTTTAATTGTTGATGGCATTCAAACAGATGCTAATATCTTTTTACTGTTCCATTGCTGCAAATGTCTTTGCCCAGAGAAGAAAGGTTTCAGTGCAAGGGTTTCTTAATTAAATATTGCCTGATGCCAGATTACCACTCAGAAGGCAGCGGTGGGTTCCATTAAAGGATGAACTTTACTCCCACAGCTGACAGCTGATTAATGTGTTAATTAGGAACCCTGCCCCCCCTCCCCCAGTTACCCGAATCTTCTCATAAGCCCAGCAGAATGTATATATTGTGCCCATGTGGGTAACCTCATGGCATACTTTGGCTTTGACTTTGGACGTTTATATAAAAATGAAGGCTCCGTTGCCAATATGAATAGCTTTCTTTCTTTCCAGAGGAAATACAAGATGGAAAGAGTTATAGGAACCAGAAGTCCTGCCTTTCAGTTTTCTGGTATCAAGAGCAAGTGCTATTTCTGCTGAGGCAGTGTCTTTTGAGCAGTTTAACGGTGTAGGTTGCCACACATTTATTTCACAGGAAAGGAGTGAATCCATCAGGCCACTGAGCTTATAAGTACTACCCTGGCAGTCAGCCACCAAAATATAAATACTCTAAATGGACTAAAGGAAATGTTCATTCTGTTGTTTAGAATTGGACACATCCCAGGAAGGTAAATTTAATCTTTTTGAGGACTGCTGTTCTGGGGTTGAATGGAACATGCATTTGTTTATCTCCTTTGTGATCTTTTTGTCTTCCTGGTGATACATTATGTATTTGTGATACGAAGCATTTCAGCTGTCTTGCTCAATGGCATCGCATTTGCTGATTGTTCAGTCCCCAGATTGGCATCGTTAAACAGCGTCAGCCCCCATCCAATCTGGGACCTGTTAGGGAGAGAAGGGGAACCAAAGAGGCCAGATTCCAACAGAAACAAAGCTGGGGTGGAATTAGGGGGAAATCATTCCTGAGCCCAGCAAGTTGAGCTCTGCACTTCTTGTCTTTATCTCTTAAAACGTCTGAAGGAATTTTGGTACTTATTGGCATAATGAAGAAAAAAGAAGGCCTCAAAAAGTAAAAATAAAATAAAATTAACGAAATGTAAAGTTGGTCAACAGGAAAAGAAGGGAAGAATACTCCCACACCACCACAATTCAGAAAACCTCCATGCATGAGACATAGGCAGTGTATTTTGTGGATATGCAAATGTTATTTTATTAAAGAGAGGGAGATACAGTATATATTTTCACCCAGCTACCACATCTTAAGTAATCAGCTCAGCCTCTTATGATGAAATCTTTAATTACTACAAGTGTGTCATTAGTTAGATGTAGAATGAATGATGGTACCGTGTGTTATTGCCTCACATGATATACCCATTTGTGCCATAAATTCATTGACCTCATCTTAAATGATGTGTCCTGTAAGACAGACTTGATTCATTATTTCTTAAGTGACAGTATTTTTCCCCCTCTAATAATTTTTTTCTTCATCAGAAAGATTGCTTTTTGTATTTTTAGGTCAGTGTTCTGAATTGAAATGTGATAAGGCAAGATGATACACACACACTACTCACATTACCCCAAAACAGGACAAAAATGGCACGCTACGGCCTGAGCACTTGCAGATGCTGCAGAAAGTCAAGCACTGACATTAGGCTTTGGTTCCAATGGAGAAGTTTGATGAAGTAGAATTTTTGCTTACCTGTAATATCTGTAATTCTTCCTATGTGGAAATAGATCAAATATGGTGGGGGATTCTCACTTGATAATTAGGATAAATCTATGAACAATCCTTATTCATTAAAGAATTCTTTAAAATGAAGGAAATGAAGGGAGAACATTTAAGTTATATTTAGATGATGATTATTATTATTATTCACTCTGCTTGAAAATATTTACTTAGCTTGAAGAGACAGGGATCTTCAGGAAGTAAAAAAAAAAAAATTTTTTTTCAATTTGGCAATTTAAAAACCAATTAAGGAAAGCTCTTCCCCCTTCTGGTTAAAAAATAAGATCCAAAAGAAACATGCCAGAAAACCTGGCATATTATTTTGATTAGTTTAATTCATTGATAATGTTGTTTAGTCCACAATTAAAGAAGTTATATTTGATATCTCACTTCAAGCTTGTAAATTCATACTGTAGGCTTTCTGTGGAGACCTAATATTGAAAAAGAGACAGGAAAATTTGTTTCATGGTAGAATTGAAATGTCACATCATTTTATATTAACTCTATTAAAATGATCAGACTTTAAAAATAACTTATGTGTATGGTATTTCCACTTCTAGTTTACTTAACCTTTACTTAGAAGAGAAATTTGAGGGTCTGATGGATTCTGTGGGACTCTTCTTATCAGAGGCAATTCTACATGTATTTGTAAACTGGGCATCTCACTAATGGGGAAAAAAAAAAAAAACAACTTAATCCAGGAGGAACCTGAAACATTGTAGTGAAAGATAGGAGACTATAAACATTAAAATTATTATTTCTTAACCACTTTAATCTCTATAACAGTTTTCCTAACTAAATTGAGAAGATGCCTTTCTAATCATTAAAGGTCACTCAGCAGTGTTCTCACTCTCAGATTTTTGCAAGAAGTGTTTTGAAAGGGCAATTTGAAATGAGACCAGACAAAAAAAAACTAATGGGTGGCAATAAGTTTATTTTATTCAATCTCACACTGTCAAGTTTATTACCTGTAAATATAGTAGAGAAAAAAAAGTGAGAAGGAAAAGAGTAGATTTGCACATACAGACCCACATCTGCCACGCGAGTATTCGCCCACAATCACATAGCAGCATGCCACCACTGTTTACAATCAAGGAAAGCTGAGAGTTAAATGAGATGAGTAATCAAATGCCCAGCATATGTTGTTTTTGCATTGTTTATGTGACCAATCATTATTAAAATTTATCATCTTTTAATTACATCCATTTACAATAGTTAAACACACACACACACACACACACACACACAGACACAACAGAACAGACACTCTTCAAAAACAGGTTTACTTTTAGAACCGTATTGGAACCAGTGCTTTATGAGAGAGAAACTTGAATTCAATAAACTCACCATTGCACTGTTTCACAATTCCTCCCTGGTGCTGTATGGCTTGTGTGCTAAGGAAATGACAAAATAAATAAATAAATAAGAAAAAGAAAAAAGATTGTGTGTTGTAAAAGTCTGTCAAAAAAAGTGAGGCACTGAAAGAACTATTGAAAATTTTGACATCTGTTTATCTGTTTATAGCTATGGCAAGATTACTCATATTAATTCTTGTTTAAAATGCCATATGAAGGAAAGACATTTGTGCAAACAAGAGTCATATTTGAATTGTAGATCATGTCTTCACCATCTGTGAGAGCTGATGGTGTTGCAAAATTAATGTGTTAATGAAATCACAATAATTTCTCCAAAGTAATGGGTTCTGAAGCCGAGAATGACTATTTTTTGAACTTTGATGTCTGGTGATTTCCAATTGGGAAAAGCTCTCAGCCTTTAATTAGTTCTGCAGCCCAACTTTAAAATAAATTTGGTGATGTCTTTCTTTTGCCAGGAGTATTTGAAGGGGAAAAAGCCATAACAACTTTTGGAAAATGTTCTCTGGTGTTTGAAAAGTTGTTAAATAAGACTGCCTGCCAAGAAATGTCACCAAAAATTCTGACTACTGAGAAAGAGTGGGCAAACAGCTCAAAAAATAATTCTAGCTTGCTGCAACATCACAGGTTGGGAATAGCTAAACCTCACACAGACTTCATGACTAATTCCAAGTTTTTCCTTGGAAGCCAGACATAATGATGTTCAGTGCTTTGTGTTATTGGTTAACACAGCACACCCTTTCCAACTGCATTATTGGACACAGTGAATAGTGTAAAGTGACTTTGCATGAGGAGAATTTTAAGGGGTTATGTGTTTCATGCCCACCGAGCTTTCTGGAGAATCCTTCCCTCTAAAACTATTTAGATTTGTGTTTACAGTGAGCCTGTTTGACAAATGAAAATGTGAGGGCAGGTACACTGGGCAGGTATATGTACTTCCATTTGTCAGAGCCATCTTCGAGACATGCTTAAAGAGGTCTACATAGTTTCTATAAAAAGTATAGGGACTGTGATCATTGCTATTCTGAAGTTAGTATTTATAAAGCAAATGCATCATTTCACAACATTCCAGAATTTTACCTCTTAGAAGGAAATGCTTCAACCTATTTGAAAAATTATGATAGTTTAAAAGAACCTTTACATGAAATGTGAAATGCCATCTACCTAAGGAAATTGCTTATCTTACCTGATTTTTTTTTTTTAACTGTGTTGTAGGTATGTGACTGGTGTAAGCACATAAGACACACAAAAGAATACCTGGATTTTGGGGACGGGGAAAGAAGGCTTCAGTTCTGCAGTGCGAAATGTCTCAATCAATACAAAATGGACATTTTCTACAAAGAGACCCAGGCCAATCTTCCAGCTGGGCTGTGCAGCACATTACACCCTCCCATGGAAAATAAAGCAGAAGGCACCGGGGTGCAGCTGCTCACTCCAGACTCTTGGAATATCCCGCTAACAGATGCTCGGAGGAAGGCCCCCTCCCCAGTGGCTGCAGCTGGCCAAAGCCAGGGCCCTGGCCCATCGGCGTCCACCACTGTCTCTCCATCTGACACTGCCAACTGCTCTGTCACTAAAATCCCCACGCCAGTCCCCAAGTCCATCCCCATCAGCGAGACTCCAAACATCCCTCCTGTCTCTGTTCAGCCACCTGCTAACATCGGACCTCCCCTCGGCGTCCCTCCTCGTAGCCCTCCCATGGTGATGACCAACCGCGGCCCGGTGCCTCTGCCCATCTTCATGGAGCAGCAGATCATGCAGCAAATCCGCCCACCTTTCATCCGCGGGCCACCACACCATGCCTCCAACCCCAACAGCCCACTGTCCAACCCCATGCTTCCTGGCATTGGGCCCCCGCCTGGAGGCCCCAGGAACCTCGGCCCCACTTCCAGCCCCATGCACAGGCCCATGCTATCGCCCCACATCCATCCCCCGAGCACGCCCACCATGCCTGGGAACCCCCCTGGCCTGCTGCCCCCACCTCCCCCCGGCGCCCCCTTGCCGAGTCTTCCCTTCCCACCGGTGAGCATGATGCCAAATGGCCCGATGCCGGTGCCCCAGATGATGAATTTCGGGCTGCCGTCGCTCGCCCCGCTGGTGCCACCCCCCACCCTGCTCGTGCCATACCCGGTGATCGTGCCCCTGCCTGTGCCCATCCCTATCCCTATTCCCATCCCTCACGTCAATGATTCCAAGCCCCCCAATGGATTCTCCAGCAACGGGGAGAACTTCATTCCGAGCGCCCCTGGCGACTCCTCGGCAGCGGGGGGCAAGCCAGGCGGACACTCCCTGTCTCCCAGGGACTCCAAGCAGGGCTCGTCTAAGTCCTCGGACTCGCCGCCCGGCTGCTCCGGCCAGGCCCTGAGCCTGGCGCCTGCGCCTGCGGAGCACAACCGGAGCGAAGTGGTGGACCTGACACGGCGCGCCGGCAGTCCCCCGGTTACCGGCGGCCAGCTCGGCTTCCCGGGCGTGCTGCAGGGACCGCAGGACGGCGTCATCGACCTGACCGTGGGCCACCGGGCCCGGCTGCACAACGTGATCCACCG